GAGCGTGAGATGACATGGTTCTTTCAGAATGTCAACAACCTGGTTCTCAACCCATGGATGGTATATGACATTGGCATGGTATCACTCCATGATCGTGTAGGGACACGTGTACTCCAGAGCACTGGAGAAGACGTGATCCTCGTGAGGGATTGGGACAGGTTGACAAGGCACCAGAGAGAATATTTTTGTAGAAGATACAAGTTGCTACGTCCAAGTGTTTATGGAACAGAGGAAGACCCCAAGACGTATGCACCGAGTTTTGAACCCGGAATTTCTCAGTGGATGGAGTTGGCACAAACTGGATACCAACAGTTTTTCTTCATCCGTGCTTGGGAGAATGGACGCCGCTGGGCTGAAATTCTGACAGACCATGGCATTGCTTCTGTAGAGCTTTCAAGCTTCTTGGATATGTGCAGAGATCCCAAATTGCTGGGTTGGAACTTTGGTATTCCAGAACCTCAGTGGGATAACTTTGGCAACACAGTGGAGGAAGCCTTTAACAGTCCCTTGTTTGCCAAATTGCACTATCGTTTCAAGCAGGAGGAAGAGATTGGCCGTGTCATGCACCTTTTGTCTGAACTTGTTTGTGACTTTTTCATCAAGGTGCTTCCCAAGTGGGTTCTTAACCACTCGATCTTGTGGGAAGATTTTATGATCTTGGATCCACACACAAAACTTCCTGTTTACAAGACTTCAGAGGCCGCTTTACAAGCAGAAGGGAATCCAGAGAAGTATCATACACATTTTGCTATGAACTTCAAGAAATTCCGTTTTTCTGCAAGGATTGTGTGGTATTTGATTGACCGTGACAGGAATCATTTGGAGAGTTTTCTTCACAACTCCAACAGTAGATTTGTGCAACATGCATGCTATCAACTTCGTGATTATGTTCAGGCGCGTGTTGCAGTTTCTGATCCCTTGTATGAGATGATCAAGAAGGAAGAGTTTGAACGCCAATACAATTCCAAGTTTTTGGAGGCGATTTCTTGCTCTCGTGTTGTAGTTGAGCCTGTAAGTTCAGGGACGTATGAGCCATCATCGAAGCTGAACTTAAAGGTACTACAAGACATCCTGAAGGGTATCTTCAAGATCCAGAAGGATGAGGAGCTTGCCAAAGAACGTGATGAAGAAGAAGAACAGGCAGCTCAAAACATCTCATACCTGTTGGCAGATGATATGGAGCTTGATTTTGATGATGATGATGATGTTCCAGTATGGCGCTCCATTGTCGACAAGTATAGAGGAGGTGATCAGGTGCTACAGGGAGAAGCTGTGAAGATTACTCACCTGTTCAGGGATCAAAAGGACAATGAGAAGGCGACAGAAGCTTTCAGTTCAGAGAGGACAGATTTTTATGAGACCTCAGGACCTCTTCCAAGAACCGAGGGAGAAAATCTTGTAGAGGACTTGCTCACCAAGGATGTTGCAGAACAAGCTTTTGAAGTAGGTGAAGAAGTTCCTCCATATACAAGAGTCTCCACTATCGCTGGTGAAGTTTATACTGGCAGTATGACACTCCTGGAAGATGAGGATATGGAAGAGGAAGTTCCTGAAGAAGATCCTGCAGTTGAACCTGGAAAGGAACAAGAAATATTTAATGAAGATGCAGGTGTTTTTCCTTCAGAGGAACCAAAGATGGAAGTTGACCAGGAGGAAGCCAAGGAAGAGTCAACACCACACTTTCTGTCAAGAGAGATAGGTGAAGACTCAACTGCATCGCACTTACCATCAGGTGAGATGGATGCTAACCTTGAGGATACTTCAGGTCAGCGGAAATCTAAGAAAAGCCGCCTGAATAAGATTCCTGATCCTCATTTTCATGAAGAAGTTCAGGGTGATGCAACCATGGAAGAGAAGAAAGAGGCGGTGGAGAAAATAAAAGAGGTCAGAGAGGATGATGGAGAGAAGAAATTGGAGGCTGAAGTCCAAGAATCTTTTCCATCTGAAGTAGTTGTTGAAAAGGATACAACAAAAGCTGACAATACCTATGAGTTGCATACTTCACCTTTGAAGTTGCTTGGAGAGCTTACAGGAGATCCAGGTATTGGCTTTTATCAACTACGCTTCAGGGAAACTCATGCAAGATTGCTGAATCATGTTTGTTTCAGAAAAGGTGAGATTTCCCATCCTCATTATCAGTCAAGGATCAACGAGAATGATTTTGTTCGATCCATTCGAAATGTCTGTCCAGTACCTCCACCTGTTTGTTATGAACATGAACGAGGGCATGATTTGAAGAGATTCTTCATCAATGATGACCGCATCATTTATTTGGATGGCAGGTATCAGGTCGATCCAAAGGCCCTTGAAAGGGCAGGTCGTGCTCGAGAAGAATTGGAGGATACGAAAAAGGAACTCAAGAAGGAACTGGAATCATATGGTCCCAAGGGACCCAGTTGGGACTTTGTCACCTTCTATGAAGAGCTGTGCAGAAGGTTCCTCAAGGGAAGAATAGAAGAACCATATGGAACTAATTTATTGGCCAGCTCAGAGTCCTTGACATTTTTATCCTGGAACTATGGCAACATGGTTCGTGGTCAGAAGTACACCACACCAAGGTTTCTCCAAGGACTTGATGGTGCAATGAAGCCACGCAAACAGAGCGCCATGTCACTTCAGAATGAGCAATTTGAGAACAACCTTTTCTTCAACATGCTCTTCTTTCTACGTGCACATGTCGTGATTCTCCAGGAAGCTCATCTTCTTGTTCCTGCCAAGGAATTTATTGAGCAAAAGAATTGGACAGTTTGTTTCAATGATTGGGAGAATCTTGCAGTGATGGCTAGATTGGCACCAGGTGGATATGTCAAGATCATTGCTGGACATGACCAAGATCTTGGTCACTGTGAACAGCGTGATGTAACTTGGGCTATCTACGAGATTTGTTTTGGAGAAACAAGGCCTCGTCAAGATTTCAAGGATGCAGACTTTGAATTTGATGACTATGGTTCTGAGGACAAGCGTGTTCCACTTACTCGAGCGAACATGCATACCATCAGAGTCTGTAATTATCATGTTGATACACACCGTGCTGTGGATGCCCACCTACTGACAGGAGAACAGACAGCATTGATGCTTTATGAGTGTTTTGTCTATGAGGTGGACATCATTTCTGGTGATGCAAATAGTTTGGCCTACAGAATGTCTGGGTACAAAAGGCAGCCAATGGCTAACTACTATTACAGCACCATGCAGCATTGGATCCGCAGGTTTTCAGAAGCTCGTGTCAAAGCAGATCCTGGTATCAAAGCACCTATTCCCAGAACATTTTATAGTTCAACTTCACAAGTCCTCAAGAAGTGTGAAGATTACTTTGACAAACTCTGGGAAGAATACTCTACTGTTGAAAAGGAAGAATACCAAGGATCAAGGCTTGGCGATACATGTTTGTCTACCATTGTTGAATGGGGTCATTCAATGAGTGAAGAGGAATATGAAAATTCCACAGTGAGCACGAAGGAGTTCATCTGTAATTTTTCAGAGAACTTTGCTATGATTGACACAGAGGTTATGTGCTCAAGGCCCACTGACGAGGACAGTCATGGTCCAATGTTTATTTCACTCAGACCAGCTTCCCTTTCATCTGGAGACAGAAGACAGTATCGCATGGCAGCAACGCTTCAAGAGGCGAACGTGCGGAGGAAGGAGAGACAAAAGCAGAATAGAAAGAAAGGAAGGCCGCCAACTTCTGATCAAGCAACTTCATCGTTTGCAGCGGCATAATTCCTGAGCGAAGGCTGAAATTTAAATGATGGCTAGGAAGTGAAGATACTTCTGGTTACAGTTGATACTTTGCTTCCAGGCTTGACTTTAAGTTGCCAGGCTAAAGTTCTAATGAACTCTGGTTTGCAACCAGGAGAAACTTTTTATCAAGGAAGATACTCCTGCATTCCAGGTTTATACGCTTTAGCATGTAGATAGGTATGGACAGTTTTACAGAACTGATGATATCTATCACAGCCGCTTTTTCTGAGATGACCTCTAATGGACAACCATTCATGGTTGATGATTAAGTCATTTCATGATTTGCAATTGTAGTGCAAGATTTTTGTACATACATTTGCCGGTATCTCCTTCTTGTGTTTTTGATGTGAATGTGAAAGAGAATCCTTTTGATGCAGCTTATTTTGTCTGTGAATGAAAGCGGTCGAGACCACGTCACGAGAAGATTATTCCTCGGACCGTACGCTCCTTGCATTTTGCAAGGCATCTTAATTCATTGCAATTTGTGCGGTCTTGAATTTTTAGTTCTTTGTTACGCGAGTGTCGTTTGATTCTTTTATAGGTCTCTGTAGAGAAAAAGCCGCTTTCCCTTTTTAGTTTGATTTAGCTCAGGCCATAAAGAGCTAGTGAGCGCCGGTACATGGTATTTCCGCCTGCGAAAAGTACAGTCTCCAGCCGAGGTACATTATCGCTTTGATTTTGTACTTGAGGTGAGTCAGCTATTGCTCCCTCACTGTATTTAGTAGCTATGAGATTACCTTCTCTGAAGTGTGAAACACACTGGATTAGGTAAGTACATGGCACCGTAGTTTTCTTTTAAGTTGTCAGAGCTAGCTGGACTGTTTTAGCCTTGCAGTAGAAAAAGAGTATGCGACATACGCAATCAGCTAGAAGTGGACATGAATCTTGTGCCTGCTGAAAAGTAGAGCCTACCTGTACAGGGTTCCACTCCAACAGCTGATATAGTGTGTCCATGCTTGACTGCTTCAAGGCTCAAGAGAAGGTCAATGGACCTAAGGATAAGACTCTGCGTGAGCAAAAGACACTAGCGGTCTGCACCTCTACCGTGTACGCCCTAGTCACTCTTTCACCCCCCCCCCCCACGAACAGAATCAACTCTTACAGGACCAAATTCAATGCACAATCCCAACTCCTGATTGTAATACATTTTTGCTAAAGCAAGGAGAACTCAGGTAGCTCAAGCTACCTTTCGTGAGTAGCAGGAAGAAGAAGAAGAAGAAGAAGCTACTACCTCCCCCTTCAACAGGCCAGGCCACTTTGACCTGTTCCTTCAGGCTCTGGTCGTCTTCACCTTCAACAAGACAGTTATCGACTGTGCTCCAAATGAGGATACCCACTGTTTCTTGCCTCTGTAGAACTTATTGTATATTGAAATCCTTGACTGATTCGTTCTGTGCAGAACGCGCGCGGCTGTGCAGGCCAAGAAGCAAATGCCTCGACCACTGCAGGTGCCATTGCCCAACCTTCCTTGGATCGACCCAAGATCAAAACTCGATGTATGCACTGGCTTCACTGAAAGTGCTGTGGCCTTGAAAGCTCGTGTCTGACTTGTTCCTTGCTAGTTCCGCTGGTCACCCTCCTTTCGTGTGTGGCCCGATCGCCGATCGCCGAGAGGCCAGGACATGCGCGGCACACAAAACCTGGATAGTCGCTCAACTTGTCGCTGAAGTCGGTGAAGAAGCCTCCAAATCGATCGAAATCTACCTCTTTGAAGCAACTAAACGATGAATTCGCTCACAAAAACAGAAGGATGGAGGTGTACACCATGGAAGCCTCTTGATCAAAACATTGACATGGTAGATGAAAGAACACTACGTCTGCTTGCTGAATTGAGGTCCTCGGGCTCCTCGGTGGTGAGCCAAACCCTCACCATTCAAAAAAAAAAACTTGGACCATCTTGGACCTCATTGCCAAGGTACTTTCAGTGCACTGAGAGCAGTCTGGCCCAGCATAGCCCAGCATGCAGGAGCACTTCCCAGTATTCTTGGCACAAACGCCTCAATCAAACAGCCGACCAAATACGGTTTACATGAACACCTTGCAACTTATGAATGCTAATGACATGTTATATAATGTATACATCATCCTAAAGGAGTTTTTCGAAAGATAGTTACTGTACACTGTACAGCTAGAGATGCTTGGCTGCCTCGGAGACCCAACCTCTGTTGTTGCAAGAATTGGGTAGCGCGCACCAGGCTGTCTCAAAGAACCTCACACGACAGATGGCAGTTTGTGCTGTTGCACTTCAGAATTAGACTGCACGAGCGCAGTATCAGTGGCAGCTGTAACATGGCACAGAAGTGAAATCACCGGCTTGCTGTGACCAAATGACAAACTCAACCGTTAGCTGTGCATCTCACAGTTCTCCACTTGGTGCCTCAACTTTTTGTTGCCCCATTCAGCTACAAGTAGTTCCTTCCGGCCATCTCCGTAAAGGTCCAGCGGCAAGTAGCCTGGCAACCAGCAGCCACTAGTCTCTAGGATGACGTCCAAAATAAGAACCATCAAATCAAACGTGACATGTAGTGACACCCTCTGCTTGGACATCCTTCGGATCAACTAAAGACGCGCCCGGGCTCTAAGCAAATCAAGTTAGCAACATATAGCAACTGGTGGAGGCGTTACCATCATCTTCATTTCAGTCGTCGCCATGATCCTGCCTGAGACATTGGCATCTGAGAATGCAGAGCCAAAGCTAAGTCCGTAGAATGGACCTCAGGCGGCGTTCAGCTCGCAGGGCCTTGCCAGTCCTCTACTTTTTTCTCTCCTGGCCATGTACTTTAAGCTGGTAAAGAACAATTCTTCTTCAATGGCAGTGTTCTACTTGGTGCACGACCCCTATTCCGCCGTGGCACAAAATGAGCATTGTCTTCGGCAAAATGCTAATGGTGGTGTAGCGCCGTGCATATTTTGCCTTGAAATTATACGTTTTTGAAAATAGCAAAACCTTATTTTTTCGGATGGTAAGTACAGTCATTCTTTTCATCTCCTCCTTCAGCGACTCTTCTCCGCGATTTTGCACAGCTCATTCAACAATTCTCTTGGCGATTCCCATGGTCCGAGGAATCTCCGCCACATCTACTGCATCACCCAGTTACGGAGCTCTAGATGTGCTTCCGTTTCCATGACCATGACTATGGCAAAAAAGAAGTCGCACAGTGTAGCGTAGCGTAAAAGAGTTTCTAATGCATAGGTGCGCACTTAGAAGCGAACGTTACCATCCCCACCCAGCGCACCCCACTCAAAGCCAGTCACGTAGTGTAGCGTTGCATAGAAGAGTTGCTAATGTACGGGATCTGCATTTCGACAGCATGAAAAGACGTGTGAAAAGAGAAACATCTCGTCATACTGCCAACGCCACCAAAAAAAAACAAAAAAAAGCTCAGAAAACCACCATCGAGCTGTTTCCGTGGCGGTCGTGGCTTCCCAACCGAAACAGGTCGACTGAGCTTCGCACTCTCGGTGCCCAGGTCGGTCAAGTTCCCGTTGACGTTCTCCTCGAGAAAGTATAAAACACACGGCACGGCACGAGTTCGGCAGCGAGTTGGAAAGCAAGCGCCTCAAACATCATGAGTTTTGAGTTCTTGTGTACGTTGTAGATTAGAGAAGCAACATTTGGTAAGCAAAGGCCCAAAGAGAGTTTGGACATGTTTGGACTTGGATCAAATCCTCAAGTGACTCTAATCTGGATATCCTCCAATTAGGAAGCCTGATGAGCTACAAACATGCATATTATGGCTAGCAGCCAGCACCTTTTTGGTGATTATCCTCCAAAAACATCTAAAAGCTTAGTTGCTAAGCAAAACACAGCAAGTATGGGTCTTCATCAAGTTTTCTACTGATTATATAGTGTCATAGATCGCATATAGTGTCTATGTTGTGGCCGCAGGTGGCTCAAATGTGGCTGGCCACTGGGCTGGCCCATTTGGTTGCAAGCCTTGTAGTCGATGGTGCCGTTGTGATAAATGGTCAACCTCAGGATTGGTTGGAGCTCATTGGAAACACACAGCACTATTACTTGTAAGCTTACTTTTCTTAGCCGTTCCACACAAGGCCAAGGTTAAAACTAGTCAATCCTCAAAACCCCTCGCAAGTCATCATCACAAGCAAACACCCCCAAGCCGCCACCCTTGCTAAGTTGGTTCGCTTGCCAAGCCAAGACAAGTTCTGATCATTCACCAAGAATAATATGGTCTCGATCAGACTCCATACGATCCGACAAGAAGTCACCGCTCGCATTCGTCGTCCTTTCTCTGGCCTGTCATTCTCGCCATCCCCATTCCAATCCATGATCAAGGTCCTCCCTGAGAGCAGGGCATTCGTCGTCTCCAGCTTTCAGATGACATTCTCAGGGGAGTTTGCTATACAAGAACTGCGTCTGAGGGGAAACATGGGGAACCTATAACTATTGCCTTCCCTTGACATGTCCACATTCAGACCGCTGGGGGGAGGGAAACCCCGTGTCTGCGGTCTGAAGCGTCTTCGAGCCGCAGGAAGAAGATGTCTGGCCATTCGAAGATGTCGGGCCCGGCCGCCCGCCTGCTTGCAACCATACTGCGTATTGAGCCTCCCTCGGAGGCCTGTGCCTTGTGACGTTTTCGAAACCTGACAGGACTTCGGGCCGCTGTGATTAAGAAAAGGATAGAAAAGGTGAGAAAAGGTTTCGAAGAAGGAACGGCAATATGATTCCTGTGCTGGGAAAAGTGTCTGGGTACAATCAAAAAACTGATGAATGACCAACAAACTTTAAGTAACCACACTGTATGGACCGTTATGGACCCGCTTTTTGTACAGTATTCCCTTGCTTTGTTTCAGCCAACCACTCTGAGGAGCTGCCATCCTCCAAGCGTTTGAAGAGCTGTACGCGTGCGACGGTGTCGTTGGTGACTTTTTCTTGGGTCTCTTGAAACCTGGCGCCAGCTGCAGTGTCATCCATCTGGATGCACTAAGCATGAAACTTTGAACCAAGGAGTGATTTGAGAATCTTTGAGGAGTCCTCTACCATGTATTGTTTGCAGCAAATTTGGCTGAGGATGCCAAAGTGCTCGCCACACCAGTTGTTTTGATAACCCTATTCGCTCTGTTTTGTGGAATCTGAAGTGCTAAAGCTGCTTGCGAAGGTGAGGAAACATGCGACTATTTTAGGTCATGCGGGCCATGCGCGTGTGTGGGGTAAACTATCCACTGCACGTTGTGCATGCATTTGCAGAAACTTGTATATTTGGGGCATTGTGCCGCTGTGGCACAAAAAAATGGCGGAAGATCCATGTTCTGAAATTGACGATGTGTCCTTGGCACTTCGTTTGTTCAGCACACATCAAGCGAAACATGCCGGAGGAAGAAAGCTGGGTGTTGTACGCTGACGCTTCTTCACTCCGGGAGTGAGCTAACAGCTGCGGTTCGTCCAGGAAACTGAATGAAACATTCAGCAACAGCTTCAGTTTCAAACCAAGCCAGGCGCACATGAAGTACAAGGCTCCGGTTTCGTCCCTCATTGGCGCCGCTGGGACCGCGTTGCGTAGGATGCCTCGGCCAAAGTTGCAAGGAAAGGTGTCACAGCACAAACGGAAGAGCTACCAACAGCACAACACACTACATTATGAAAGTTGTATCATAAGCCCCAGCGTTCCATTGTGCTGGGTACAGTACAGTTCAATTAGGAAACTGGGAACCTGGCAGGGTTTTTAGGAACAATGCCATTCTCGAGCCGCACTCTTCAACCATTGTTCAACCAATGAGCCGAAGGGGCACTCACGGGGTTGCAAGTTCGTTGCTGGGTGACGTCATTGCACCACGACAACTCACAGAAGCCCTGGTTTCTGGTGGAAGACTGCAGAAGTGGCCACGATGTAAGCTGAGGCATATGCAATCACATGGTTGCGGCTCAACAATTAAGGCACCCAAAACCTGCTTGTCAAGAAGAAGCAAACCAAGACCTCCGGGATTCGTTTTTTTCTTTTTGAGCCACTCCCAACAAACGCGGGTTCTGGGCGTTCGGTTTGAAAACCCATTCCCCCCCTGGCCCACTCCGTCCTCGTCCCCTTCGCTCAAAAGGACTTCGGCCCAGTCGCCGATATCATAAAATGGATTGGCGATGCCTTCCCTCTCTTGCAAGCGAACATCTCGCTCACGGACGTAGACCGTCACGTGGCCATCCTGCGGCGTTCGTGAGTTCATGCGAGGCATGGAGAAATCCATAGGAATGCGAAGCCAAAGAGGGAACACACGAATGTTGGGGAAGGTCGTGGATTCGTCCAAATCATCAAAAAAGTCAAGGAGGCAGCCTAAACGAACCGGCAAGTCGCAAGCATTGATTGACCTTGTTGTTGGGCAAATGAGACTTGAAATTAAACAGTCCTGATTTCCAGTCAGCACATCTGTGCGGCCGTCACCGTTGTAGTCGACGGCCTGAACTGCTGCAAAGTGGCCCACCTTTATCCTGCAAGCAGATCGCAAGAAGGTTAAGGGAGGTTGGGCTGGGATGGCTGCTAAGATTCAGACCTATCAAGATTCTCATGATCTGATGTTAGCAACAACAAAATAACAACAGTGTTGACAACCACCTCAGTCCCAATTTAAGAAGAGCAAAAGAACGTTTCACGAGTCTGGCTTTCTTTAGAAGCATTCTGCGCCGCCTGCCAAAGGGATTGGCAATGCCATTCCTCTGTGCCAGGCGTGCGCTTGCCAAGCGTTCAAAGAAAAGTACTGTACCTCAGCTGCTGAGACGGAGCCCAAATAAGAACTCCCATCACCCATCGGTCATTCCATATCATTCCAAAAGCAAAAACATGGCGCAATTCAAACAGGGTATGTGGTATCCTGCCAAAACTCGAACAGCCTCTTTAGCATCTATTTGGTCCATTTGGCACTGATTTCTTGTGACTTCTTGCTTGCTGAAAGATACCATCAACTTGGCCATAAATCAAATCCTCAGCTTGCCAGGATCATCTATCCATCCGAAAAGTTCACCAGCTAGAGATGTTCTCATGACTCATAGGTCTCATCATCACCTGTTTTCACATGCGTTGTCAATCATGGCAGTCTTCGCAGTCTTCCCCAAACCATCTGGGGACCTTCATGGCCCTGCCACCAGCGCCATACCGATCTTCAGCACTTGTCCGGACCTTGCTCCAGACCTCGCCCCCTGTTGTCGAGGCTCGAGATCACCTCAGGCCCCAAGGACCAAACGGCGATGAAAGAAAGACAAGCCAGTGATGAAGCCCTCCAATCATGTGAGGAGTGGTGGGATTTGGAGGGTTCCAGATTTGCGGTGTAAGTCAGGCAAATGTCTTTTGTCCTGGATTCTGCAAGAGCCAACAGTCCACTGTCCAAACGCACGAGGAACTCAGCCAAGTGGCCATCTCCATCCCAGTCCACAGCGTGAGGTGCACCATAATTTCCATCCCAGCCACGTGCATTGTCGATAAAAGCCCCCTGCACCTCACACCGCTACTTTCAGGACGACCGATGGCGACCTGACCTCACGTTCAGTGACTGCTCAGCTGAGCTCGAGGCATTCATGAAAGGGTTTGAGTCACCTGTGCGCTCCACGAGCTTTCCATCCACTTGTTCAAAGTAGGCCAAACCCCTGGCCCGCCAAGGCCACGCCGACATTCGACATCTCAGTACCAACATGGTTACAAAATATCCATCAAGCCTAACAACTGTTCGGCATTCAATTATGGTGTATACAAATGGTATACAATATACAGTATCCATCTCAATATATTATGAAGTCTGTTCTTTTTCTGAAGATTTCTGAAGTGCCTGCAGTGGTGGATCAACTGTCCTCACTGCTGCATACTGCTGCGTCATTTTTTGGTTCGTGCACAAATGACGCAACACCGAAGACTGAAAACTTCTCTCGACCGGTGTCCGCAGCAGCCTTCCCCTTGGAAGGATCAAGTCCATGTCGCCATCACCATCCCAGTCTGCCACGCTTATACGTGGGGCAATATGGCCTGAGTGTCTAGTGGTCCTGGATGGTCCCGGTCTGACAGTATAAGCTTGAAAGATCTGTTTCATGAAGGCATCTGGTCCCAAGAAAAATGGCTTCCACCTATATAATTTGAACCACCCCAAAACTGGACGCCCCGAAGGAGGAGAGCAAGCAAAATGACAGACGAGGCACTAAAAGTTATGCCTTGGAATGGGTTCTTGTCTCCATCCTGCCAAACCAGCTCCCCATTAATACGCTTGAAGAAGCTGATATGGCCTGCGAAGACACCCGAACGCAGTTCAGCTTCAGCAGAAAGCAGAAAGCGGTCGCCCATGTGCGACCACTCAGTGGCAGCTTCAAGTGAACAAACACATACACTGTATTTTTCCAAGACCTATCCATTCATGTTCCGCATTCTGGATGGCTTTCCCGCCTGCTCTCGCCAGAATCAAATCCAATTCTCCATCCCGGTCCCAATCGACTGCCACTGGCCCTGCTGGAGCATAGCCTTGGCACAGAATGACATTCCAACATGGAAGGAAGACATCCTGCACCATCCGTTCCCGTCTGAATTGTACCTGTCACCTGCAAGCCAACCACCTCCGACCCCCGCAAGAAGAGCGCCTGTGACGCGCTGGATCATCCGAAAGGGCGATGCATCGCCCACTTTCGCGTTGAGCAACCCATCCTCGGAACCAGCGACAGGCCGCAGAGACAGGAGCATCGTGGGTGCTTGGCCGGTGAAAATAGAGCTCTAAATCGACACGGGCAATCATGCCAGGGAGGCATGCCGCAAGTGGCGTTGATATACAATAATATGCATCTGGAATGACAATGATCGAAATATATGAGCAGAGGACAAAACTAATCGTGTAGCCAAATACCATTTGACATGATTATCGTTTTTGGTGGGGTCCATATCGTTCTCCAATGTTTCTCCAAACCGTAGTTAGCATAGCATACCGGCACATAGACTAAAACACAAAATATAACTCACAACCTCAGATTAGAGGCTTGCAGTGCTTTCTGCACAGGAATAGCACAGCACTTGATTTATGCACTTGGGTTCTCGTGGCACTGGGCTGTGCAAGGATCACAACACATAAGCGAGGACCTAGTAGCTCGGCCCATGAACAAACACTAGTAATGTGAAGAAGTAGGTTTACGGAGTGCCTGGCGTGACATTTAGGTTATCGTTCGCTTATCGTTTGGATTATCGTTTGGGAAGTTGTCTGGGACTATCATTGATGAACAGTTGTGCCCATCGGTTTAGCTCAAAAAAGCATGCAATTGCAATAACATATTGTAACGACAAACGTCTTTGCACCCACTACGTCTTAACAAAATTATTGTTTTTTGGTGGGGACCATATTGTTTTTCACAGAAACAAAGCCCACAACATAGGTTTAGGATCATGCCGTGACTAAATAAGTCAACCAATATTTTTGTCCGTCGCTCATATGAATACTGTAACTCACTTTATGCAAAGCATAACGAAGAATCAAACGGAGAGCAAGTAGAATAGGCATGAATAGGCATGTCGCATGCTGATTGTGAGAATGGCCAAAATGAGGAATATGCCACGTGTATGCATGCCACTTGTTACCTTTGTCCCTCTTTGAACTGCATCAATCATCAGGTCCTAGGCCCCACACAGTCGCGTTCTTCTCGTAGTACCAAATGGTTCCATCCTCTGCGTCCGCTTGAGGTCACTGACAACTGTTGGACATCTCCGAACTGTTTTGCACCAAATGTGGACCTCTTGCGAACTCAAAAAACAGCGGAAAGTCTTGCGGACCCGGTTGGCCCCCAAGCCTTATCGCCGACCAGGAGGTCCTGCGTGGGCCACGCTCACTTCAAGGCACCAACATCCACACTGAAGTCTACTAGTTAAAGGCGTAGGGGCAGCCGAAGCCTGCGATGGCCTCCAACCTACTAACGAGGGCCTCCAACTAATGCGTACCAATGCTGACAGTTGACAAATCAACCCTAGAGATGTGTCAAACGTCAATCATATGAGGTTATTAATCAATAGTCAGTCGTCCAGTGAGTGTTGAATCCTAGATCCCTAGATCATCAAAGATCGTCCATTCAGACCTACAACTTGCAACATTCGTCTGGAAACGGCAGGGTGAAAAACACCACCGAGACCCCATCTCTAGCACTCATCTTCCCTCAACTGCGCACCATGTGACCATCGCCATTCCAATCTACCATGAAGGGGGCAGCCATTCCTCGCCCAGTCGGTTTGTGTTTCCAGCTGGTCGTTTCAAGGACTCTCTTTTCTTCGGTCTCAGAAAGATGGGAACCTAGACTCCTGGACCGGTGTAAAGGTTCCAATTCTTGTCATTACTGCTTTGCGCCGGGTGCAAACACTTGGAATACACTCTAGTGGAGTATCTTTGAGCGTAGGCTGGGCTCAGACGGGTCACATAAATTCTCCACTTCGAGCCCCTTTGTTTCAAGCGAGCGCTGAGAGATGCTCTAAGTGCCCAAACTGCTTGCCATTCTCTGTGTGTTCTTCTTCACCAACTTCTCCTCAGCTAGTCGAACACTTACTTGCAGAAAAGAACATCCGGAAGTGTTGCCGACTCCACTTGAAACAACAAACATGTAAGTGAGATGGCCACAACATGGCTACAACTAGGAATTCATGAGGCTCTTCAAGATTCTCCCAGTGCTGCCATGGCACCCTGTGACCATCGCAGGAATCTGGCCTAGGAGCACACTGCCATAGATCGCCTGCCGACGTGAGCTAGATTGACTACTGTTCTCCCTCTTCCTCTCTTCCTCCCTTCCGGCCTAGATCTCTATCACTTGTCGCTTCTGTAGGCATCAACGCCCCACATCATATTGATCTCATATTGTCTCATACCATACCGAATCTTCGGACAAGCCTTTCACGTCTATTGCGGCTGCATAGCCCAAAAGGGCCCAACCTCAGCAAGAGCACTGTTGAAGCGAATATCATCAGGGTGGCTCGCAGTGGGTCGAATTGGGTCGGTGGGTCGCGAACGTTGAAACTTGGGCCAACTGAGTGAACAGCAGAGCATGCCACACCACTGAGAGGATCTCACCATGGCGTCCTTGTGTTTTTGTGTCGCAGTGAAGAGATGCTGCTTGAGGTGCGGAGTGATGTGGTTGTCTGGGCAGTGGAGAGTGTGAGGCAAAATCCAGCGGTTTTCATGATGTTCGTGAGAAGAGCGCTTTTCACGAAAACGGGTGTCTGTGAGTGTCTGAGATGCGAACTGTTGGGGGGGGGGCAAGATGCGTTGCATCGTTTTGTTCCACCTTTGTGGTCAGTCTAGGCTTCTTGTGAGCCCCAAGCTACGGACCGGAGCAGCGGAGCAATGTCTTGCAAATAACTGGAACCAGGAACTTGGAGCTCTGAGGAGGACCCCACACAATATACATATATATATACATACATATAATCATATATATATATATTATATATATATACATATATATATACACATATGCTGTTATATTAATCTATATTGCCTCTGCTTGATGGCATCCCCAACCCATCTACAAGCTCCGCAACTTGGCTCTCTTTCCACACCGCCGGCAGTTGCCCAAGCGAGGCCACGTTCATCAGCCACTTGCGGGGAGCATCTTCTGCTTCGATCTAAACAAAGATGGGTCCAGTGCCTGGTGGTTCTCATGGTGGTTCGGTGGTTCGGTGGTTCTCATGTCTCTTGCTTTTATGACCTTCTCGGATCTCGTAGCGTTCACCCAAGTCTCGGAAGTTGACGCATCATCTAACCCATCCAAGAGTCGTGAATGTGCCAAAGAACTAGTAGCTCGAGCTCAAGATCAGCTGAACACGCACCCCGCAACACGCAGAAATCACCTACGAGAAAACAATCTTCCAGAGCGCGCACGGACACGCTGTTGCACAATGCGAAGTCGATGCTTTCCAGGTTACCAACAACATCCAACAGCAATCAATGAAAACAAGGAGTCAAGTTTGTTTATGTTCCGGGGTCAACCAGGGTTCCCGGTTTGAATCCACAGCCAGGGCCATGTCTCAATATGTTGTAGGGGGGGCCCAAAGGAAACCTGCCTCTGCAAAGAAGCAATCCAAAATCCCATGAGAAGCCATTGTACCCTTCTCTGAACGTCCAAGATTCGTCTTGACATTGTTGCAAAGTTGCAGTAGCTAGCAAACTCTCCATCAATGTCAACGCGAGAAACAGTTGAAAAGGTCACGGTCGACCCATTTTACAAATAACAAAGTCCAAGGATGTCCAAGGTACACAAGGTCTTGTGTCTACACCAACGTCGTAGTTCCGGGTTTCTACTTTGAACAACCATATTTCAGAGGCTGGTTTCAACGTCACCCCAAATATTGAGTGCAACTGATGTCCGTCAAGTTGTGCTTTCTCCATCCGGTTTGGCCTCATCACCCCAGTCAGCTCCTTCTGCCTAGGGCGGTTGAAGAAAGGCCTTTGTGCGTTTAAACATGTAAAACATGAGAGCACATTATTCAGAAAAAATGTTCATCTATACGTGCTTCGTGATTCATCCCAAAAGAGCATGTACATGGGCCATTGAATAAAGAGATCGACTTTGATTCAAACACTCATCACAAAAAGCCATACCATGCGACTGGTATTATTCATTGATGTAACAACCAAGTGGATCAACTGGTACGATTGGTGAGTTGAAGACCACGTTCTTGAACAAACACTAGAAGTGCTTTCCCCGTGTGGCGAACATACTGACAAGTGTTTCTTGAGCTCTGGGCTGGTTCACCTGCGCGCTCCGACAAATGTGGGGAAGTGGCTATGTAGGTGACCTATGTCATTTCCCATTTCCGGTTCCAGGTTAGTGTCTCAGCAGCATAGCATTCCTTAGTTACGTAAAGAAAAAACAAAATGCAGGCTCGCATCAAGATCCGCGTCTTTTCGCAGTGGAGCAGGGAAAAAAAGGCTTGAAAGTGGCTTCGAGTCTGTTGTGCAAGATACTTTGCGATGCTGAAAGGTAGTAGTTTTGGAATGTTGGGACCTGTTCTACAAGCTATGTCCAAATGCTGAAAAATGGAATTGATTCGTGAGGGGGATGTTCTATCATTCTATCTCTTACCCGCTATTCATTCTCAAGGGCAAGCGGCAAACGGTATTCTACATATCTTTTTCGCGGTCGCTATGGAATATTCTAGCAGGTCAGTACTTGATTTCTCCCACTTGCCCCGCATGTGTGCATCTATTCTTTCCGGGCGAAAAGGGGCACGTGGGGGTTGTTTTCTGAACTGGGAATGGCACATCTGCTTTCCATCGCGGAAAATCTGCTGGCCCGAGTGCTGGGTTGAAGACTTCCTCTATAATGAATATGATGATTATGCCTGCCTTGTTCTACAAGCTCTAGCTTCCATATATGTACAGTGTACAGAGTACGGAGAAGTTGACTCATGCAGGCTTCTGCTTTTCAAAGAGAGAATCGCCACTCCACAGAACTGTGCGCCGTGCCTGCAGTGGCTAGAGCCTCTTCCTTTCAAACCAACCAATTTGCACTGGGCATTCAAGGCATTGAAAAGCAATGATTGCAATGGAAAAAGAACATCTGGTTGCTTGTCTTCCCATTCTTCAAAGATGCATGTTGTTAGGCCAGCAAGAGAGTGACGAGACTCAGTGCACCCACCAACCGGTCTAGCAACCAACCGGTCTCAGCGTTCGGTCGAGCAACTCGGACCGTCGAGCAACTTCACAACCAATCACTTCTGGCCGGGCTTCGGGCGTGTGACTCCTTCCCCCAAAGTTTTTCGTGGTGCAATGGTGAACGTCTCACTTTTTTGGGGCCAGTGCCTTCTTCTCAGGCTCTGCAATGGCTTCGCTGGTTGCCTTGGGACTGAGAAACTTCCCCAGAAATGCCACATCTGTAGGTCAGAAGAGTCAGAAGTTACTTATATATAACAAATAACAGGACGTTGCTGGCTCACTAATTTGAGAACAGTGATGGCAGCTTTCAACAATGTGTGCGTGCGTGTTTGTTCGCAATCATGTTGCTGCAGTTGCTCCAACACGTGGAACCACCACCAGGATGTCTGAACCAATTCCATAAGCTCACAAAACTTCAGACAGTGTTCTGACCTGAGACTATCTCCAAGCGAATAATTCTCAATACCACCATAGAGTCATTCACCGCGGATCATCAAATCAAACAAACACGTTACACAGCTGCAACTTTGGAGATACCATGCTTGACCTCCCAAGTTTTGAAATGCAGAACCCCACACCCTCACCAGCAGCCCAGCCTCTACTGGCACAGGTGCCGGCGCAGAAGCCGGAGGCTCCACCGGGGGCATCTCCTCCGGGGGCGTCTCCGCTGGGGGCGTCTCGGCTGCGGGCGCCTCCGTTGGAGCCTTCACTTCGGTGCCGATCTCTGTCGTCTCCAAAGTGCTCGCTGCCTCCGCGCTCTGCGCAGGTGCTTCCTGCCGAGTCGAAGCGGTATATAAACCCCCCTTGTTTTGTGGAACTCATTGGCAGAATTTGGAGGAAATCATAGGTCTACCAGATTTTACCAGTTGTCTATGCCCGCGCGCTGTGACGATTGCATGTCCTCCGCCACCTTTGGAGCATCCGTAGCTTCTTCAGGAGGCTTTGCATCTGCAGTTGCTTGCGACTCCTTGTTCTGCCAAAAAGTCTTGATGCGAAGCCTCCGATAGATTCCCAAAACAAAACCCATGTGACCAGGATTTTGCCGCTGTCAAGAAAACATCTGTCACCCAAATCAATGGAGAACATGGAGAGTGCTAAAGCTGCCTGTCTATAGAGTTAGTGCTGTGAGCAGAATGCAAACCAAGGGATCTCAGCCAGTAGCCACCGTTGCCTGTATATACGTAATACGAAGACCTCTGAAGACTCAAACTTGGGGGAACAACCTCAAATGCAGGAACAACCACGAACGCTCCTCGCCGAAGGGAGGCTCTTGCGGTGCCTCTGCCGAAGGAGGCTCCTCTTGGGGAGGCGACTTGGAGGCTCACAAAGCCCAAAACAGATGGTGCTGTGTTCAGTTCAATGCCTCCTTTACGCCTTTATGATGTCTTTTGCTGTTTTTTGGCCTCATGCCAACTGAGGATCTGCCCCAAGCACTTCTACCACCCTTCCCACATCCTGAGTCTCTGCTCCAAAGCCCGCGTCTGGTAGGCCCTTCCAGAAGATGAGCAAATGGAGGGCACAATTCTAGGCACAGCAACCCCTTCAAAAAATGAGGGGTGTTGGACACCTGTTCCGAAGTTGCTCTATTCTTTTGTGGCCCCGTGTTCGGCTTGCGTTTTGGCTTTCGCGCATGCTTTTGCTGACAGGGCTAATTTACATACACATTCCACAGGATGTTTTACTTATATACATGCAAATCATTTTCTAAATGGCTCAAATCTAAATGGAAGCTGTTGCAATCTTTCACAAGCTTGCGTGAACAGTGAACAGTAATAGTTTGCTTAAATCATTCTCGAGTCTTTCGTGTGTGTTTACTTTTTGGTGGAGGTATCTCATTACATTGATATCTCTTCAAGTTGTTACATGGGAGCTGTTGGTCGCTGCTCGATTGAGCTTGGGAGGGGGCCAAAGGCGGATAGGTAGAGTAATAGGGATAGGATGTTTTCGGAGTGCCTTCTATCTAGAGGGTTTGAGATGCTCAGCAGCCAAAAGCCATAGAGGCGAGCTAGAATAGAAACACCTTGCCAATCACTACATCACTACAAACGAGGCAATGTTCTTGTGATGGAGACCCCGAACCCCCCTCAAAAACCCGGACAATGGTCGCGTGAAATCTAGAAACCCAAGGCCAGCGGCTCTTGAGAATACATACATAGATACATACATTACATTAAATTACATTACATTACATTACAGTACAGTACAGTACATTACAGTACAATACAATACAATACAATACATACGTAACATAACATAACATAACACTACGCTACACTAACTACATTGTACATTACATTACATAGATACATACAAACCAAACCATACCATGCCAAAACATAACATAACACAACAGAACATAACATAGCATAACATAACATACATTATTCATGATTATACATGAATGTGCCTCCTTTGGCCGGACAAAGTAAAAAAATACAACACGCACACAAACTGTGGCACTGAGCTGATGTGACACTTCCAAATCAAAGTCCTGGGGCAGGACACCAAAAAGAGGTTTCCTATGTTTTCCCTATCTTGCCTCCGGAGCATCCTCTGCGTCCCTGACAAATTGCTGGATCATGAGGGAGGCACTTTACAGTGAAACTGAGAAATGGACCCAGCACAACCTTGAAGGCGTATAAAGCATGTTGGCTGAGAGAGTCTGTTGCACTTCAGAGAATTCCAGGACAGCTGGTCATGCTATATATCTTCAATGTGTGCAAAGGTAGCGAGGGAAAACGCATCAACCCCAATCTATTCAGGTAAACATTACATCGAAGTAAAAACTTGCTTCTTTGACTATTTGAGGAGGCTCCTCTCAAAAGGAATGCCATTATTCTTCACTTGGTAGGAGTGGAGTTCCTCTCTCAAACCGTCCGGGATCGTCTGGATGCTGATGTTGCTTGGAGAGTCTGACTAGTCGCTGGACAATGCAGGGGTCATCACTCCAAGACACGGCCCATGCAAACACGGCCCATGAAAACCAACGCCCACGAGAGTCAAGGGGAAGAGTCAAGGATGAGTGAGCTAGCAGCCATAGTGAGCGAAACAGTGTCGACTTACGAAGAACAAGGTCGTCAAAGAAAGAAATATATTGTATTATGGCGTATTAACTGACTATATATATAGTCTTATATAATATAATATACATAATTTATATATATATATATCATCTGATACAAGTTGAGCCTACTCTGAACAGTGGCCCTGACACCGTACTTCAAAGCTCGCCCGCCTGATTTCTCGCGGAGGCTCATACCTTGGTGATGCATCCCTCATCGACTCCTTTCCAACATCTGAACATATCCGAACATCCGGCATTGACAGAGGCCAAATTGGATGGCACTGCTATAGGCCGATGCAATCAGAACTTGTACCACAACTGTGAGGCAACGTCGTTGACCCTGGTCCTACCAAACTCAGGCTGATGCCACTCGACCGGGCAGCTGAGCTCGGCTTTTTGGCTAAAGATCTTCTCCGCAATGGAGCGATCCTTAAACCTGCGAAGGGTTTTCCGTGTCATGTTCACACCTTGTCCGTGTGGTCCAAAAGTGGACAAGCAAACCTGTATGTCATTGGTCAGGTTGCGAGTCAAACAGTCCTTGAGGATCATCGAACAAAGGGAATCTAAGTGGGTGAAACCTCCAACTTGCTGTCGCTTTTGGCTCAAAGACTGGTTCGCCACGAAATTGGCGAATCCATGTCAATGGCTCGAGGCTTGCACCTCTCAACACCTCTCAAGCTGCCCCCCTTCGGTGACGTTCTTTTCTCTCACTCTGCTGGGTCGGGTTCTCGCAAGGGCGGGCAGCGGGCATCTCCCTCCTCATACCTGGCTTGGGTCATTTGACGGATTGATACGCTTGGGCACAACAGCACATATAGTACTCTACGACAATTGATCTATCAGACAAAGTTGTTTTCTTGCAAAGGTAAAACGGAACATGACATCATGCAACATCCAATTTCAATGGCGAACAGGGCACGCCTGCACAAGAAGACTCACCTTTTTCCTGCCTTCTTGTCCACGGGGTCTGCCACATCACCCTTCTCTGTCAGCCAACTGGGTTCGTTGTTGAAATGAAGGGATCCCCCTGGTACCGACGAGCCCTTCATGACTTCTTGTAGTGACACCCCCAGGCGAGCAGCCTTGCGGGCCATCCGCTGTTCGTATTTCCGCCGGCAGTCCATCTCATAGGCTTGCTGTGCTCGTAGCTGCCTATCCTCCTCTTCTTTCTCCTTGCTCGCCTGGAAGGTTCCAGGAGCATCGCGATAACCTTCGGCCTTTGAAAGCATGCGTTGAACCTCGGAGAGGGATGAGGCGGCCTTGAAATCCTCCAAGAGTTGGTAGGTGGTAAGCTCAGACTTGGCCATCCGACGACAATGAAAAATCAAAGTGGACAATGGGGGCGAAGGTGGATATTTCTTGACAAAGGCCAAGTATTGGCGGGCTTTGGCCAAACCATCCTTTGGAACCTCCATTCTCTCCGTTTTTCTTTGATTCTGTTTTGCAACACGCTCCAAAAGACCCTTGCGTTCCTGCTTCAATTCCTTGCGCCGTCCGACCTTCTCTTCTTCTTGTGAGGAGAGAACAGCGCCAGTTGCCTTCCTTTGAAGCAAATTCTGCACTTGACGCATCTTCTTCTCAATCTTCCGTAGCTCCTTCTCCAATGTTCCAGTCTTGCACTCACCAGCGAACAAGCAAGGATCATCCAGCATGCCCTCTGCTGACATCACGCCATCTGCACCAGTGAGCTGAAGATTTGCGACAACATCAGACCAGGACTTCACATTCCCATTCGCCAGCACCGGGACCTTGACGTGTTTTTTGATGATCGCCACTTGATCCAAATGCGCTGGGCCATCTCTTCGGTGGGTCGGTGTGCCGCGGTACCGCGCGTGCACCGCAATCAAACTCGCGCCAGAAGCTTCCAGCTGTCTCACCAGCTGCAAAGTCTCTTCCAAGCGATCCAGCAAACGAATCTTGCAAAAGACCGGCACGGGAAGCGCCTGAGTCTTCAGTGGGAGGATTCATGAGTGAAGAGAAGGGAACGAGGGTCACCCGGTGCAAATCCACTCAGGTCAGATTGGTTCCTTGCAGTTTCTTTGTCGCTGAGGATTCAATTCTGATTATGGCCTCTATCTGTGTCAGTATTATTGGCCATAGATATTTCCATGTTGGAAGTCATGTTGGAAAGGATGTTGGAAATCATGTTGGATATGTATGGGGAGGGGAAAGGAGGGATATCAAAAGGAATACATATATATATATGTATATGATATGTGACTGGGAGCTATTGAGACATCGGCAACATGTGCATCAACTGGTCCTTTGTAAACTTTTAGCCTTAACCGTAACCCTTAAGTCACCACTTCCAGCTCCAACTTCCAGGCTCAGTGGTTTCATAATTCAAACTTCATTTCATTGTCGATTCATTGTCTACAAAAAAAAACATGGACGGCGATCCTTAGTAAGGATGTTCAATTGTGTCAACCGGCCTGGAACACCACCTCGTTTCCTAAAGCACAGTTGCCCGTGTTCCCCTACGTCCTCCAGCCTCTGATAGCCGCTTCACAATGCTACAAAGCAAAGGTCGGTCCTTCTCGTCAAGCAGATATGCCCCGAAATGCTCCGCGTGCGCCACGCGCTGTGGACATCCCAAGTTCAGATCAATGGCATCCACGCGGTCTGCAACATGTTTGGCCGCAGCCAACAAGACTTCTGGATCATTTCCACAAAAGTGGACCACCAGTGGTCTGTCTTCTGGACACGTCTGAAAGCCATTCTCCGCAGCGGCTCTGTATGCAGGATCTCGGGAAAAGGGGCCCGAATAAATCATGGGCGTGTAGCAAAGCTGGGTTCCATACTGCCTGGTCATCATCCGAAATGGGAGTTCTGAACCTCCAACCATAGGAGCTAAGACATAGCGATGTGGCGGAAGGACATGTCTTCTTCCTTCCACCAGCGAGCGTGGCACCGACTCACCGACTCTCCGGTCCCTGCGGCGCTTGGAAGGTCTCACCTCCGCGGCGGAGAGCAGCGCCACGGTCTCATCTTCCCAGCGGACCTTGAGGCGACCGTCGCTCCGGCGCTTCAAGAGGAGGCAGCGGTACCAGGACTCATCCTCCTGCCAATAACCCAGCACTTGGGTGCCAAGCAGTGAATCCATGGCCACACCAAGTTCAGGAGATTGCGAGCTTGAGTTTACTGCAAATGTTCTGGTACCTCAGGCAAAAGCTACTGTTGGGGGATCCTCTGGTTAATTATGCTTTGAGATTACAAGGCGGTTTCAGATCTCCATGAATGGCGTGTCAGTATAATTGTTTTCTCTTCTAAGATTTGGCTCAGCAGGCTGGCTGCGTGGCTCTTTGGTCTTGTTGCCCGGCCCTACGTTCAGGCCTTACAGCCAGGCCCACTTTGCACAGCCCTCACAGCGTGTCGCCAGGGATCGCCCAAGGGATCGACCAGCGGTTTCTTGGGACGGTGCACCGCATATGACAGCACCCCAGTATGGCATCACGGTGACCCGCCCATCACCAAGCAAAACCACAGCAAAACACCCAGCTGGTGGATGATGTCTTTGCACAAAAATAGTATCAGTTATGCACAGCTTACAAGGTCTAAATGATGTCTCAGATGTCGAGTCTTTCCTGGTTCCCTCCACCTATCCAGACCGACCCGCCAATTGAGCCCAGTGGCTCCAAGAGCCCAGCGTCGTCGTCCTCGCGCGCATCGAAGTTGCTGTGGCTTCGCCGCAGTGCACCGTGCATCAGGGCACCACGGCCCAAGCTGAGCAGCGCGCGTCACGCGTCACGCGACGCAACGCGTCACGCGATGGTCGTGGGTTCTGGTGCTCGGGGTTCAGAGCACTGAGAAGCTGGATCGTTTCGGAGGGATAATGGGTCATGTTTGAGGGATATTGAGCATGCGTTGTTTCATTGATTTGGATAAGAAATGGCTCTCTTCTGCACCAGGGTTGAAACTCAGGGCATCTAGCATATGGATACCATAGTCAAAGCTAGACAGCTGGACCTGTCTAGAAACAGAACGGGGCACGACCGCTCTAATAATGGTTGGCAATCAGTCATAAGCAATCACTAGGGGCGAGCGTCAATCACTCGGTACAAGAAAAGCTCCAGCCTCCCATTTGCGATCCACAGACAAACAAGTCGCCAAAATGATATACGTACAAAGAAGCTACTAGTAAGTAAGTTACTAGTAGCTCCTGGCATTACTGCTAGGAGCAAGAAGCTACTAGTAACTAGGAGCAAGGACGCTACTAGGAGCTCCTGGCATTTAGTAACAAGAAGCTACTAGGAACAAGGGCATCGCTACTAGGAGCAAGAAGATACACGTAGATCCCTCACCAAAGAAACACACGTACAGAACTTCTCTTGAGGGGTTCCAAGCCAATGAATTTCTCGCATGCATGGCATGCAATGAGCAAACGGGCACCGGAGAATCAAACAGGATGATTAAAATGATGTCACCCCTTGGAGTGAACGACAAGACTCTACCCGTTCTTTGCGGCGATTTGTTCAGTGTGCAGTTTCTGCTGGCCATGGCACAGAATCACTACCAGCAGCAAACAGCCGCATGCTAGCCTTGGCTAACAGAGTTTGTAACGGTAACTGTCCCATGTTCTGCCATGCTATCCCTCCCAAAGTGTCTGTGCAAGCCTCTCTGCAGTCATCCTCTTGGCCTATCCGTGCACCTACCTTTGTCTGACACTTAAGGTACTGCTCCGAGTTTGAGCTGCTAAAATGTGCCGCCAGACTAAGCCCCCTGCGCAACAGCAATATGGTCTTCCCGGGCCTCCTGATGTATCACAGTCTCTTCAAAGTTGAGGTTCCTCAGCACAGCCACGCGGCGTGAGCGAAACCTCCGCAATCAAAGGTGGAAGAGATCAAACATCTCGTGTAATCTGTCAAACAAATGGGTTGACACAGGGGTCCCCGGTCTATTCCATCAACACCAGTACTGACATGCACTCAGTATATACAGTAACTGTAATGACCTGGTCGCGCAAACTTGCACCCAATTCAACGGTATCATTGTCATCCATTGACAAGATGTACAATGTACTCTGCACCTGCTGGACGTCACTTGTGTGTGCGGGTCGGAAAAAATGCGGGGATGCCCCGACCAATGGATCCCTTGGTCTATCTTCCTCGTTCTTTGGGTCGATATGGGAGCCCTCTCTATTCCCACACCCTCACACACCCTCATGCCATCCGGCGACATGTTCATGACCGCGCGGTTCTCGTCGCCCTTGCCGTTGTTGGGTTCTCCCGTTTGCCAGTTTTGGTAGGCCATCGGCGTGCCATCGATCCAGAACCAGTATTCCGACCTGTGCCCAAAGCAACGGCCGCAACGAAGGGTTTCGACATGAGCCAAAACCGCAATCTGCTCGACCTGAAACTTCTTTGAGCACAAAGAACATGTGAGTTGTCATTGGATTGATTTGCTGAACAACTGGAACAACGAACATTCCGAACACCT